TCTCTATTCTATTCCATTGATCCTTGTCTGTTTTTGTGCCGATACCATGCTGTTTTGATTACTGTAGCTTTGTAGTATTGTCTGAAGTCTGGGAAGGTTATGCCTCCAGCTTTGTTCTTTTTCCTCAGGATTTCTTTGCCAATTCTGGGTCTTTTATGATTTCATATAAATTTTAGGACTATTTGTTCTAGTTCTGTGAAAAATGTCATGGGTAATTTGATAGGGATTGCATTAAATGTGTAGATTGCTTTGGGTAATATAGCCATTTTAACAATATTAACACTTCCAATCCAAGAGCATGAGATATCTTTCCACATCTTTGAATCATATTCAGTTTCCTTTATTAATATTCTATAGTTCTCAGCATATGTCTTTCATCTCTTTGACCTAGACTGTTTCTATTTTTAAGACCATAATGTTCATTTTGGAAATTTATCCAAACACAGATAGTTATAAATAAACAGAAATTGCCTATAATCTGGAGATAACCATTATTAATATTTTGGTTATTTGGTTATTTGGTTAAAGTAGAATTGTTTGCTATGCTGATATCCATCACTATCCTCTCACCGTAAGTTCTTTTTCTTCATGAGCTCATTATCATATTTATTTACTACTTTTTCTATCTTCTTTACTATGTTTAGCCCACTGCTGCAAACCCCAGGCCCTATAATAATGACTGGCACATGGGAGGTGCTCAGTAAGTTTCTGTTGAATAAATGAGTCTCTTTTTATGTATAGAACAGAGCTGAGGTCATACTTTACATACAGGTCTAAATTTTTATTCATTTAACATTATATTTCATCATGCCACTGACTAGTTTAAAACCCTTCAGTGAAGGGTTTAAAACCCTTTCCCATTGCCCTTAGAACAAAGCCTAAAATCCTTACTATATCCTGAAAGATGTTGGTATTTGGAAAGACACACAATCCTTATCTTTGGAGCTACAGCATCTCAAATCCTCAGAATCAACATAGCCCAGCTCTAGGCTTTCCTCCCCATTTTCTCCCTTCCAGCCATGCTGGGCTCCTTATAATTTCCACCAACACACCATACCCTCTCTTGTCTTGGGGCATATTCGTTTTCTAGTGCTGCTGTAACAAAATTACACTGGGTGGCTTAACAACAGACATTATTTTCTCCCAATTCTGGAGGCTAGAAGTCCAAGACCAAGGTGTCGGTAGGGTTCATTTCTTCCAAGGCCTTTCTTCTTGGCTTATAGATAGCTGTTTTCTTCATGTCTTCACATGGTCTTTCCTCATGCGTATCTGTGTCCCAATCTCCCCATCTTATGAGGACACCAGACACTCTAATTACCTCATTTAACCTTAATTACCTCCTTAAAGATCCTGTGTCCAAATACAGTCACAGACTGACGTATTTGGGATTAGAACTCCAGCATAAGATTTTGGGGTACATGATTCAACCCATAACACAAGGCTTTGAACTAGTTGTTCCTTCTGTCTCTCCTCTTATTTGAGATCTCAGCTTAAATTTCACTTTTCAGACTTTTCCATGACAGCGACCAGACTAGGTCCCCACTTTATATGCTCCCATAGCATCAGTGTCATCCCCTTTTAAAACCCTCATCACGGGCTTCCCTGGTGGCGTAGTGGTTGAGAGTCCGCCTGCCGATGCAGGGGACGCCGGTTCGTGCCCCGGTCTGGGAAGATCCCACATGCCGCAGAGCGGCTGGGCCCGTGAGCCATGGCCGCTGAGCCTGCGTGTCTGGAGCCTGTGCTCCACAGTGGGAGAGGCCACAACAGTGAGAGGCCCGCGTACCACAAAAAAAACAAAAAACAAAAAACACAACCCTCATCACATTTGTAATTAATTGTTCCATGTCTGCCTTTTGGATTCGACTATAAAATACATGAGAACAAGACTTGGAACTGTGAACATCACCTTCTTCCCAGAGCTTACTTCAGTGCATGGTGAATAGGAAGGGCAATAAATCTTTGCTCAATTAATCCAAACTGAAGAGCATGCTCTTAGATATTAAAAACTTTTTATAAACATTGTTTTAATGAATGCACATTATTTTTATTGATGGGCCCTACTGTTCTTAGTATTTACCCCATAGACATCTATATTATATCCAAATTTTTTCTCTTATTCACAATATTAGGATGGAAATCTGTATCTGCCCCTCTGTTTCCTTAGATTCCTAGTAATAGGTAAACTGAGTTAAAAGGAAATAAACCATTTTAAGGCTTTAATGTATACTGCTGAGTTGATTTCTGAAGATTGAACGAACTTAATACTTCTGTTAGCAGTAAAAATAAGCACAAACTGATGAAAAGTATATGGAAAAGAGCTTGTTACATAAAATTTTGGTGAATATTTTATTGCCCAGTTTCTCAGAAAGGAATGTAAATCTGTGTTTTGTAGGTTTGGGGGAGAATTAGATTTCTGGATCTTGAATGAGGCATCCCTGTGTATGTATGGTGTCTGATATTTATTTTCACAACTCCCAGTGATGGAGATAATTTAATGCTCCCTTCAGTGTTAGAATATACATATGGGAGGGAATAGTAAGGCGGGGATGGGTCGGAATTCCTTCACCTTTGTGTTCGAGTCTAGCGGCCTGATTCTTCTATTTTTCAGTACCTCTAGTTCGAGTCTGGGGGTTCCTGCTCTCCAATTATCAAAGTAGAAAAAGTGCATGATTGTCCTAGAATATGTGTAGGGAAATTTCCATCAAAATAAATGCAAATAAAGTCATGTGGATTCAGTAGGTAGAGAAGTTGGTGGAAGTTGAAGTCATTCTCATCTGCATCTATTTTCTCAATGAAATATATGTGGTGAGGTCATCACGTGAGTGACGGGAGGAGCATAGGATATTTGAAAAGAAAGGTGGTGTGAAACTGTAGTCTCAGAGTGGGAAAATAAATTAGCTAGAGAAATGTGGTTGGAATTGCGGGAAGTATTGAATCTCATTTGAGATTTGTGTTCATGATTTAAAGTCAGGCCAGTCAGCACTGGTGGTGTGATTTCATCCAGTTCCAACAGCTACTTAAGTTTAGGTGAAAATCAGTGAGTAGTTGGATTTAATAAGATTTAAAGTTTTGCCAAGTTTGTTCAAAAGAAGAAGAGACATTAATGGTGGGTAAATTGGGAAGTGAGGTCATGGGGAGGCGTGATGGATTCTGAGAAACTGGAAGAATCAGTGGATTGGAGGTCCTGAAGAACTATCCAAGTGAGTGGACAAGACTGAGTTGAAAGTAATGATTAGAGACTGAGATCACAGGGCTTAAAGATATTTACATATTTTATTAAATATTAATATTAATGTAATAAGACAATTGGGGCTGGAATTCTCTTAGCTTAAGACTTCAGGTAATAAAGGACTAATGAAGGGATTAGTCCTTCTAAAGGTAGCAGCTGTCTAGGACTGCCCTGAGAACTTCATCTACTCTACAGTGGAGGAAGCTGGATTGGGAGAGTGGGGAAAGAGAGTTTAGGACAAGCTAGCTGGCAGTGTTTGTCAGACTGCCTCTTGACCCAAGGTCAATGGCTTTTCCCAGAAATTGGGAAAAGATAAAGTAGGGGGTTCTTGTGTAGGATGTGCCTCCAGTTGCTGCACAACTCCAACACCAGTGTGGTGGTGGTGGTGATGGTGGTGGGAGGGTAGCAGTCAGTCCCTTGGTGTTAATTTCTTCTTCCTCTATTTAATGACTTTGGTTCTCTCCCTTAACCTGTGAGGAAGGTTTTCAATCTTTTCATTTTAAGAAACCCCATCCTACTATTACATCCAAAGTATTTTTTCGTTATTACCTGCTGCTATTTCTTAAGACAATACCACTTCTTAGACAGCTGAGACTGAAACAAGGATAGAAATGCACTCTAACACCATAGGACTTCTAAAGTTATTTCTCCCATTATCATCTGGGATGATGAGTGCATTCTTTTATGGATTGAGAGAATCACCAGGGTTCTACCAATCAGTGGCCTCCCATTGACTACTTCACTGTAAAGGATAGATAGAAACTATAGACCTCCAGGCTTATTAGGCTAAGTTAAGAGCAAGGCTTTGAGAAGTATAAGCCTTCCTAGCAGGTAGATGCTGACACTTACTCGTTTCAACCCTTAAATTACTTAGCTTCTCTTAGTAGACAGACCTCTTAAAGCTTGCTTTACCCAGAAAAGAAGAAGCAACCTCCCCTTTGAAATCTTCCAAGAGATACTCCTGGATCCTTTAACTCTTCCTGAAATAGCAGTGCTTTGTCCTAGAGGAATGGAGGCACGCTGAGACTGGAATTAATGCCCAGAGAACCTGAGAATGGATGCTAACATTTCTAAACTTCAATCCCAGGTGGGGAGAAAGTGGTCAGGTGGGAAGGGAGTGGCTGAGCAAAAGGTGAGCAGAAACTGAAATGGGGGTGGAAGGAGGGGTGAGAAGGACTGAGAAAGGAAGGGAGAGGGTGGCACACCGGAAGGAGCATAGGCCCTGGAAATAAACCAGGGCTCCTGTTCCATTGCCCAGGCACAAAATGTCGGACTTCACGTAAGATGCTTAGAACTTGTTCAACTCTCAGTTTGCTGATCTTAAAACAATTATCAATAAATAATAGTGATTATTATCAGATCTTTCAAGATATCTGTGTTCAGAAACCCTGGAACAGTACAGATGAAAAGCATAGTATCACAGTATCTGAAAGTGGCTGCTAAATGAAATGGTCTCACTGGAATTAACAAGAGAGGTCAGTATTACTCTTGATGACAATATTAAAAGGACAAATGATTTTATTAAATATTAGTAAACTCAAAAAATAAACACGTTACCAATATTGACACTGTGAATTACTAACTCCACTCTGAGGGTCCTAGTTGAGTTGTGGAACTGTTCAACATATGTTTGCATGTCTATACTCTAAGTTGTCCCCCAAATTTACTCTCGTAGGGTAAAATGAAAATTAAAGGGAAGACAGTGGTGAAAAAAGTTTAAAGATATTAAAGATATGCAAAGTGATGCTAAAAATTAAAATTAAAACTAGACCAGGATATTTACATATTTTATTAATCTTTACAGTCATTATAATCAAATACACAATTATATACAAGGATTATATACATTTTGCCCAGACTTTTACATCACAGTACATAGTTTCCCTTAGAAATATTGTATACATTTATCACCAAACAATAAAATCCAACAACAGTAGTGTTACAGCACCTGTTAGTACAGACATCTTTTTCATAAATTACATCATAAGAAAATATACGGCTGTAAATTGGGCTTTTAAAAATGTCTTTTATAAAATCTGAACATACAATATTTCATTCACAGAATGTTATTTTTTTCTATGTTCTGACTGAAGCCTTGTGCATAAAACGACCGGTTGGAATATTTATTAAATGCCCCCACCCTCGCCTCTACAATTATAAGCACTATTTGAATTACTGACGCTGAGCTTTCTTTATAATGAATTTGGCATGGGGTTTGGTGAGGGAACAAATGCTGGTTTTACTATTATAAGGGCTGTGAGATGGTAATTTAAATTAAAAAAATCTCGAGAGCATATTAGAGAAGTTAAAATCACAGAGTGCACAATTTTTTATTTTACCCTCTTAACACTGTGAAGAAAAAGGGAAAAGTATAATGTTAATTGTTCTGAAACAACTGTATTCTTGTTGGAAGCCTGTTAAAAGTTAAAAAGAAAACCTACCCAACAAAATATCCCATCCCAAACATATCTGGTAAATTACAATTCTTTCACATCTAAAACTTTATGGGAAAAGCACTGCAAATTAGGGTATATCATTTTAATGGACCTTCCTAAGCAGAAAAAACTATAACTATTTTTAGTAGGTAAACAAGTGAAGTTTTAAAACTTGAAAATACCTGAATTAAATACTTTCTCTAATATCTAACTTTTAACTTTCAGATAAAATCCTTACTTGATTCCGGGTTTGTAAACATTGTATAAATCCTTCTTAGTCAATCAATCTTATGGCTGTGGTGATCACTTCAGCTCTATCTCTATGCAGTCAACATCTAACTGAGGTAGACCAGATGTTTCTAAAATTCAGGGTTACATAGAATCCCCTGAATCTTTAGGAAGTAAATAAAATGCTATAAAAGATTTAAAAACAAAACATTTTTAAAAATGCCTAATGATGTTGAAATTTTTTAATGAAATAAAAAACTCTGTGGCAGTATGTCAATTAAGAATGGAGAGTCAGGGCTTCCCTGGTGGCGCAGTGGTTGGGAGTCTGCCTCCCGATGCAGGGGACGCGGGATCGTGCCCCGGTCCGGGAGGATCCCACATGCCGCGGAGCGGCTGGGCTCGTGAGCTGTGGCCGCTGAGCCTGCGCGTCCGGAGCCTGTGCTCTGCAACGGGAGAGGCCACAGCAGTGAGAGGCCCGCGTACTCCAAAAAAAAAAAAAAAAATCCACGAAAAGAATGGAGAGTCAATGACAATGTTGGAGTTTTGAAGCTGAACACTATACCTTCTTTTCCTAGCTAGGGAAAAATCACATATAATTCCTTCTGGGTATTAAGTATAATTTGTTAAATTTTTTTCCTTTTTTTTTTAAGGATTCATTTTTCTAAACAAGCCAGCAATTTGCTTCTAAACCACAATGAATTGCAACAACTCCCCCTAATGGCCAAAGAAAGGGTAAGTGGCAGTAAGCTGGCTTTTCCTTGTATGCCACAAGATCTCTGCTGGAAATAAAATTATGTTGCTTTGATAACTTAGAAAATTTAGATTTAGACAACAATGGCTCTGAGATACAAAAAGAAAATCAAATCAATGTATATACGGCTTCTGTAATCCAAGTCTTAAAGGAACATCTCCTTTTCTCCAAGCCCCAGTCCTATAAATCAAGGCAAGTCAAGTAATTAAGCTTCAGCTATTTTGGCAGCTTTGCAACTAAGATGAACAAAGCACTATGTCTATCCTTCTGTATACTATATGTATTATAGTTCTATCTTCTTACACCAAATTTCACATGCAGAGAGACTAAAAATATCCATTTTGGTGTCAGGTTTAATTAAGGGCCAATAAGGTCCGGTATACTCCTCTTTTCCCCCCCCTCAAAGTGAATTCTCTATTAGGTTTATTACTCACTGACCCAATTAAGTTTAGCTGGAATTTTTGAAAGCAGCTATTTATCCCCTTATAAAATAACATGTTTACCTGGGATCTAAGACATACTGTACATGAATATACATAACTACAATACAGCACTGCTGTTCTTTTAACAGCTCCATATACAGTTTAAGTTCATCAGTACCTCAAAAACTGTGTTTTAAGAAAAAGGGTCGTTATACAATGTCATGGTACAGAAAAAAGAAATTAAGTCTCAAATATTCCTTTAGAACTGGTTCAGGTAAGTTTAAAAAAATAAATAAAATGAGTAAAGCCATGATTTCAATTACAGGGCTGTCTACAGATATCAACAACAAAGTTTTTAAAACTTAAATGTGGCCAGCACCAGACTGCCCCCCCCCCACACTCACACAAAGGAAAAAAAATTCTCATTAAGCTATATGGCTATATGTTAGTTGCTACTGTGTGTTTTACACAGGTTACTGTAGACTAATTTTCAAGTCCATATCAAAAGGAATATTTGTTTAAAAAAAAAAGCAAACTTAAAAAAACCATGATTCAACAGAAAATGTGACAGACTCCTTAGGTGCAACTTTAGAAACTAGTTTCAAAGGAGGAAAAATAGTAGTTACTCCAGAATTTTTAGATCACTACCACAGTTTTATCATGGCTTCCTAAGATAGAAAAATGGAACAAAATGTATTCAGCTATTGGCAACATAGGCCTTGTGGCTCAAAATGCATTCTAAACATGGGATGGAGTAAGGCTGATGGCTAGAGGTAATCACCTCTAATGAAATGAACTGGAAAAGATTTATAATTTACCCTACAAAGATATAACTTTAAGTTCCATTTCAGAGTAGTCACAGCTTTCCTTACGGAAGGCCCAATGGCAAGTTCATATTGCAACATTATAGTTTCTCCCTTGCTCCATTTTTCAAAAGTATTAAGTAACCAATTTCCACGATATATGACCTTTTTACCTGGTCCCAATGATTAGTCTTTATGCAGAGAACTCACTGAGAAAGTACACTGGCTTCACCTTTGGTTTAAATGAAAAGGACACTGTTAAAGAGGGAAAAAAAAAAATCAAGTCATCTTGATCATGTTACACAATGAAGCAAGTGAAAATGATGAGCAAAGACTGTTTTCACCATGAATGTATTTGCTTCATAACCACTTAGGTCACTTTTGAGTGTTTCTGTGAAGGCAGCATAACCAGAATGCCCAAAATACTCCTATGTGTTTTCCCCAAAGAGCCTCTAACCCCAGAACCAAGAAAACCGAGAGCTTCCTTCAATTAGAAAGTTGTACAAATTCGTATTCCCCACCTCACAGTTAACTGAATTTGTTTCTTATCTACCGTCTAGAGAGTGCAGAAATCTGGTTCCTAGAAACGCCCAATAATCTTTTCCTGGCCTGAGATGCAGCAGGATGGTGCAATGCTGTCACCTGAAGGGGAAACTGTGAGTTTGCATTTTTGATGGGACAGTTATAAACAAGGTCAGTTCTAACACAGCATGTTCCAGATTCCTATGATAACTAACTCTCCCAGTCAGAACGTGGTTGTTCATCACCATACTTAGAGCCTCCCATGAGAGAGCCTGCTTAGTATCAGGGTACCTATTATCCACAGTTTACCTTTTCTTTTGAAATACCTACCACCAGGTAGACTTTAGTGAGTCAGAGCTCATCCTTATCCATCATTTCAAATGCTTCTATATCTTCATTCCAGTCTGCTAATATGGAGTCTATAGGTTGGACCTTTTTACCCCAGCTAACATTAGGATTGGAATCCTCTTCAGTTTCTGATTGTTCTTTAAGTTGGTTATCTAAATCTGTACATTCACCATCAAGACTTGTAGTCTCATGGTTTTCCGTGGGATTAGAATTCTGTTCAGAAGGAGAAATGCTTGCAGCATTGTCCGTATCTGCTGGAGACAAAGATTCTGGGTGAGAGTTTAGAGAACTTTCCTCAGGAGACTCCTGATCAACCAAATCAACCTCCTGAGAACTTGATGCAATCTGTTCAGCACTCTGATTCTGAGAATCATTTTCAGAGGATGGTTGTTCTTCATTTTCCATCTCAGGATCTGTATATGAAAGAAACAAACTTCATGCTACTTTCCCCACAAAACATGTACTATCACATTCTCAAAACCATACTGGTTTTGATAATAAAAGTTAAAGAAAATCATGTTAATGCAGAATGACTCTAATAACTAATAAGACTGCCTTCAATGGGTATTAGTAAATGCCAAGAAATATACTAAATAATAATACTATGAAAATGCATATAAATTTGTATTATGTCTCAGATTAAATATTTAAGTTCAGGAAAGCCTGCACATGAGAACATATTAAATAGAATACATTTTATTTATTTTATTTATTTTAAACATCTTTATTGGAGTATAACTGCTATACGATGTTGTGTTAGTTTCTGCTGTATAACAAAGTGAATCAGCTATACGTATACATATATCCCCATATCCCCTCCCTCTTGCATCTCCCTCCCACCCTCCCTCTCCCACCCCTGCAGGTGGTCACAAAGCATCGAGCTGATCTCCCTGTGCTATGCAGCTGCTTCCCACTAGCTATCGATTTTACATTTGGTAGTGTATATATGTCAATGCTCCTCTCTCACTTTGTCTCAGCTTACATTTCCCCTCCCCGTGTCCTCAAGTCCATTCTCTACATCTGCGTCTTTATAAATAGAATACTTTTTAAACAGCACATGACATTGCTGTATTTTAAGATAATATTCTTTGAAAAGTGAAATTCCCACTCAGTAAACCATGAAAATGCAGATAATACAAAACTTTGAATGATTCATGGATATCAATGTGATTGATCAAATGCAATATTTTCATAAACACAAAACCAGATTATTTACAAAACTTCTATTTCATTATTGGAGATCTATGAATTCTAATATAATCATCAAATCCACTGGAAAGATGAAAAGCAGTTTAAACTTCTTGTAATGAATATAAAATAAAACCACTAGAGGCATTTTATTTAGGGTTCCTACAAGAAAGTGCTTAAATATTAGCATCGACACCCACATGCTGCATTCTCAGGCTCTGCAGGCGGTTGGTAAAGCTCTCCCGAGTGTCCACCGTGTGGCAGACACTGTGTAAGGTGCTAGGGATAAAACGAGGTGAAAACAAACATCTGACCTGCCCTTCTGAATCTTACAGTCCAGCTGGGGAGAACAACGTTTAGGAATAATCACACAATAGAAAACTCTGTGACACATGTCATGGTGTTAGGAAAGAATATGGAGATTTGAGGGCTTCCTTCAGAAAGTGATACTTAACTGTGATATAAAAGATAATCAGAGTTAATTAGTCAAAGAAGAAAGGGAAGATGGACTTATTATAAAACCAGAAAAACTGAAGCAAAATACAGGCATTCAGGGAGGTAGAGGAGGGTGTGTATACATATACCCTAATTAGGTAGGATTACCTGACTAGGGAAGTTTAAGATAGTTCTTAGGTGGGGTTTGTCAGGGGGAAGGAGGGCAAGGGGGAGGAGTCCCCACACATTCTCTCAGCTGTGGAAAGGGTACATTTTAATTTGACATCAAGGCAAACTATGGTGGGGCCCAAAGAAGAGAAAGCAGTGTCTGGCTGCTTAGGGCTCATTTATGCTAGGCTACCCTAAATTCGAGGGAGAAGGGAAAGAAGAACCTTCAACTTTGTTTCTCGATTGCATTAATCTAGCTTAGAAGAATAGGAAAAAGTGTAAGGTTATTTCTTCTAGTAATAAAGACTGTAATTTTGGCAAAAAATCACTCTAGGGTTATATAATATTTTGGAAATCTAGCTAATAAAATGGAATAAGAAAACAATAGTATAGGCTCCAATGAAGATGGTAGCGGTGAAGAACGTGGAACTCACCTCCTCCCACAAATAAATACATCAAAAATACATCTACAAATGGAACAATTCTCACAGAACACCTACTGAACACTGGCAGAAGACCTCAAACACCTGAAAGGACAAGAAAGAGCTCTACGTAACCGGGTAGGACGAAGGGGGAAAAAAAAGAGGAAGTGGGACGGGACCTATGCCCCTGGGAGGGAGCTGAAAAGAGGAAAGGCTCCTGCGCCCTGGGAAGCCCCCTCAGATCAGCTGGGACAGAAAGGCAGCTTCAGAGGCGCAGAGGAGAGTGCAACAACCAGTTTGTGGCAGGCAGGAGAGAGACCCACACAGGCTGCTGTACCGCTACCCTGCGCGCCCCAGCCTGAGACGTGTGTCCGCTGGTACGGGCAGGGGCCTAGTGCTGATACTCGGAGTTTAGAGGACAGACCTAGGGAGAGGACTGCTGTTGGATGTGCAGAGAAAGCCTGAAGGGGCTGGAGTGTGGTACGGCTACAGCCGGGGGTGTCTGCAGAAGCCCAGGCCTGCCACAGAACTGGAGAGCCATTGTTAAGTGGGGCACAAAGGGAAGGGTGCCATGGCAGCCCCTTTCTCCACATGCCAGCCTCTGCCTCCACAGACTCCGGGACACTGCACACCAGCCACAGCCTCAGGGGCTCCAGACTCAGCAGATTCCTGCAACCCAGCTGCCACCTCGGGCTCCCACCTGGGCCGGCTCAGGGGTCCCAGCCACCGCCTAGGCTGGCACCTGTACCAACCACCACCTCGGCAGGCCCCAGGAGCAGACACCAGTGAGCTGCCCACGCACAGGAGCAGGCCTGAAACCACAGCTGAGCCCCAGGGGCCGCGTGACTTAGGATGCAGGGTTGCAATCTCTCCCTGCATCCGTGTGAGCCGTGTACTTACACCTTCGCTGCTGGCTGTGTAAATTGAGCATCTGCAGGGCATCCGAGTAGACGACAGGTGCTCCCATGCTGGGATGGGTCTGGCCTTGCAGCTGTGGGCTTTGTGGGCGCGTGCACATGGGGGCTGGGCTGGGCCTGGGTTTGAGCTGCCTCCATGGCTCCCACAGCAGGTCCAGGTGTGCAACTACTACAGTCCTGGGACCCGGCTTTAGTGGATCTGTGCTGGTGGCCTTGTGAAAACAACACCTGAGGGACACCAGGGCTGATTGCCAGCATTCCCAAGGTTGAGACGGGGCTGAGGGCAGTATACTTTGTGAGCCCACACAATGGGTGACAGGTGACACAACAGAGCACACTCACTGGTGAACAGCTCTGGTAGAGAAATACTCAGTGGCTCCTCTCCCTGTGGGAACACTCCAATCCCACCTACCTCACACTGCAGCTCAGAAACGGATCTGGGGGCTTCTACTCCAACAGCTAGGGAACAGACCCAGCCCCTGACAGGGCAGTAACAACCACAGAGCAAAAGAGGAGGCCCCGATCAATATCCAGTGCAGGCTCTGGTCACAACACCAGTCACACCTCCTATCAAGGGGATAACAGCCAGCATACACAGGAAAGAGGCAACAGGCATCCACACTAAAAACAGCCCTCACACCAAAAAATATTAAACCCACACAGGCTATACAGGGATGCTCCCACATAAAAACAGCCCTCCAAGACCACATCGATAATTGTTTCTCCTAAACTCATAGAGCAACAGAAGTATAAGTAAAATGAAGAAGCAGAGGAACCACTCCCAATTATTAAGATCAAGAGAATTCCCCTGAAAGAACAAACAATGAAACAGGCCTCTTCAGTCTAACAGACATCGAGTTCAAAAAGGAGATAAGAAGGACTATTGATAGAAATGCAGATTACTATTACTAGAAACTATAAAAAGGAACCAAGAAAAATTAGAGAACTTATTCACTGAGACAAAAGCTGAGCTAAAGGCAATGAATAGCAGAAAAAATGCAGAACAAATAAGTGATTTGGAAGATAGAATAATGGAAATCACCCAGTCAGAACAACAGAAAGCCACATGAAAAATAAAATGAAAGCAATGTAAGAAAGCAATATAAGAATAAATAAAGCATGCCAATGTACACTTAGTAGGGATCCCAGGAGAGACAGAAAACAGGATTGAAGATGTCTTTGAAGAAACTATGGCTGAAAACTTCCCAAACCAAACGAAGGGAACAGATATCCAGGTACAGGAAGCACAAAGGGTCCCAAACAAGATAAACTCAAACAGACCTACACCAAGACATATTATAATAAAAATGGCAAAAGTTAAAGAGGATTCTAAAGGCAGCAAGAGAAAAACAGAGTTAATTACAAGGGAAACCCCCATAAGGCTATATATCAGTTGCTTTCTCTACAGAAACGTTGCAGGTCAGAAGGGAGTGGCAAGGTACATTCAAAGTCCTAAAAGGGAAAAATGTGAAACGTAGGATACTCTGTCCAGCAAGATTATCAAATTTAAAATCAGAGAAAGAATTTCCTGGACAAGCAAAAACCAAAGGAATATAGCAATATTAAACCTATCCTATCCTAAAGGAAACATTGAAAGGTCTTCTCTAAATAGAAAAAAAGTTAGAATCTTTAGGGAAAAAATCATAAATGGAAAGTAAATCATTTAAATAAGCCAATACACAGATTTTTAAAAATCACAATTAAAAAAAAATTTCTGTGAAAGCAATGATAACCACAACGAACAGCAAAAGGATGAAGATATAAAAGAGGACATCAAAATCATAAAATGTGGGGGAGGAGAGTAAGAAAACGTAGATTTTTTTTTTCTAGAATGTATTTGAGCCTACATGACTACCAGTCTAAAGCAAGCAGATATAGGAAGGGGTTAATATACTTGAAAAACAGGGTAACCACAAATCGAAAACATACAATAGATACACAAAAACCAAAACCAGATTTTATGAATCTATCACAACAGATTCATAAAACAAAAGAAAATCATCAGACCACAAAAGGAAAAAGAAAAAGAAAGGGACAAAGAAGAAATATAAAATCAACAGGAAAACAAGGTTTAAAATGGTAATAAATACATATCTATCAATAATTACCTTAAATGTCAATGGATCAAATGCTCCAATCAAAAGAGACAGAGTGGCAGATTAGATTAGAAAAACAAGGGCCTAAAATATGCTCTCTACAAGAGACCCACTTTAGAGCAAAGGACACACATAGATTGAAAATGAGGAGATGGAAAAAGATATTTCATTCAAACAGAAATGACAA